ACCACAAACTCAATGACTTAAAGCGATGCAAATTTATTATCTTACAGTTTTGGAGGTCTGAAGTCCAAAATGGTGTTGTTGGCCGGGCTGCATTCCTTCTGGAGGTTCTAGGTGAGCCCACTCCGTGCGTTTTCTAGCTTCTAGAGGCTGCCTGTACTTCTTGGCTTGTGGTTCCTTTCCATCTTCCAAGTCAGTGATGGCTGGAGAGTCGTTTTCACTTCACATCAATATGACACTGACTCTTCTGCTTCCTGTCTCCCCTCTTAAAAGGGCCCTTGCGATTACACACACTGGGCTCACCCAGATAATCGGGGATAATTTTTCTATCTTAAACTCTACTCATTAGTAGCCTTAATTCTATCTGCAATGTTAACTCTCTTTTGTTATACGATAAACATATTCATAGGCATTATTCTGCCTACAACAACCATGTGTATGTACTCAAGACTTGGGAATTTTCTGAGCAGATGAACCAAGTCCACTTGCTCAGAGCAGTAATTCCTAGAGCAGGCTGCGTTATCAGCTGGCCAGAGTGCTGGCCAAGAATCAGCTGTTTGGTGGCCTGGGAAGAGAGTTTGGATACACATGCTGAGATGTCCAACACAGGCACTGCAGGTTCCATGTGTTCTCTTACACTAAGACCCTAAGTTAAAGACAAGCATGGTTGTCATCTCTGAAAAACAAAAAGCTGCCCCCCTCTTTGCCCTATCTTACCCCAAGAAATATTGGGAAAATCTACTTCAAGTTACCCCTCCAAGTAAAACTGGCCTGGGGGGCTTCCCTGGTGGAGCAGTGGTTGAGAGTCCGCCTGCCGATGCAGGGGACGCGGATTCGTGCCCTGGTCCGGGAAGATCCCACATGCCGCAGAGCGGCTGGGCCCGTGAGCCATGGTCGCTGAGCCTGCGCGTCCGGAGCCTGTGCTCCGCAATGGGAGAGGCCACAACAGTGAGAGGCCCGCGAACCGCAAAAACAAACAAACAAACAAACAAAAACAGAAACAGAAAAAACAAAAAAAAACTGGCCTGGGGAGTTCACCCCACTAAATTCCAGCTGGAAAATTTGGAAATATTCTGGGAAAGTTGGTGGGTGAGCCCAAAAATATAGTGACTGTAAACTTCTGACTCAGAAGAGTTGGGAACATTTAAGGTCATCTAAGTATTCTATTAAAACTACGGTGGCTGGGATAGAAAAGAGTAGGAGAATAAGCACTGGATGGGTAGGCTTGAGTTCCACATCACTCAACCAGAAGATCAGTGGTGGAGACTGAGAGAAGAAAAAGAAGGTAAATGAGTAATTTTTGAGGAACTTGAGCTCAGAAGTGCAAATTATCAAGTTCCATCCCACCACTGAGTTATTCCAAGTAATTGTGACACCCACCTCTGCGTGACAGATATGAAAATGGGTACACCAGTGGTTAGATCAAATCCTCTGGTGTGGGTGACTCACTATTGTCAAATATAATCGGCCCACATTTCCCCTCACTCCTTTTCCACAACTCAAGGTTCGCCAAAGGATAATCTCATCTAAAACCTCTTCTTATATGCATAGATGGATATGCACGAATAGGTACACGTATGCACACCCACATATAATGTATGCATGCATGTAGATTTACATATGTGTTTGTTTATAAATATTACTGTGGGTGATAAAGAACTGAACTAAGAGTCCAGAAACCTGGACACTTTGGTTTTAGTTCTGCCTCCGTTTCCCTAGGAGATTTTAATCTGACCACTTGTTTGCTTACCTTTGAAAGAAGATGTTTTAGACTAGGTGATCTTTGTGATTCTTTTCTATTCTAAAACCCTAAATATCTACCGGGGGGAAGTAAGGCACATCTGTTCTCCTATCAGAACTCCAAATTAGCTCTCCTTGACAGGAATGATCCTACTTTTTATTAATGAGCAAACAAAGACTCCACCCTTTGATGGGTTATTTTCTCCTTCTGCTCTGTCTATGCTTCTTCTAGATTCTAATTCTGTCTGGGCAGAATTTATCTTCATTTTCTCATTTTCTTCCATCGCTGCAATATGGAAATGAAGGGAGGTATCAAAACAAAGATATTGCATTATAGAAAGATTTTGCCAAATACCTCCAGACTTTTGAGTCCATGACTTATTAGGATCTGAGAACTACATCTTTGTCATACAGTAAATATTTGCAGCATACTAGATAGAGGCTCTACGGGGCACAGGGAAGATACAGAAATTGGGGTATGAACATGTTGGATCTAGTTCTGCCTTTATTTTCTAAGTCAACAAATATAGCCTGAACACCTTTTAAATGTTAGATGTACAAGATATAAATGGTCTCAGCAATTATCTAGTGGAGGAGACATATTGAGCATATAATTGTACAAAAAAATAATCAGTTACAGATATATTAAATTATCTGAAGATGAAGTTAGTGGTGTTAAGCGACCACGCTTCTTCCTAGAAAGGGAGGTCTCAATTCAAATGGCTGAATGGACAGTTGGAGGAGATGGTGACATAGGTAGGGGCCAAAATTTGAATGTTAAAGAGTTGGGACTATGGACTGTGGAGAGCTGCTGGGAAATTTTTTTTAAAAGAGGGTCAAGCATCATTACTTTGTTGGATTTGCAGGGGCTAGGCTGGAAAAGAATAGAAGGACAAATCGTGAAAAATGGATCAGAAGAGGGTTGAACTTGGGGTCTGGAAATCAGGTAGGTGGCTCTTGCGGGATTCTGGGTGAGAGATGCTGAGTGAACTAAGGATCATAGCAGCAGAGATAAGGAGATGAGTGGAGTCACTAGAAAGGTAAAAGTGTGGATGAAATGGACTCCAAGACCAAATGTGGGGACTGTGATGTTGGATGATTCCCAGATTTCCAGCTCAGCAACTAGGGTGGGAGTTTCAATACCTGAAATGGGGATTAAAAGAGGAGGATCGGGTTGGGGCTATGGGGAAAATATTAGTGCTACTACGACTGAGGTTCCTAATGAATATCTATGTGGAGCCATCCAGACAGAAACAGAATAGATGAATCTGGAACACAGAAGATGAGTATGACCAGTGGTTGTCAACTTGTGAAAAGGCAGTAAAAATCATTTTAAATAAACTTGTATGTCTCTTACTGATTGGAATACTCCTCCATTACAAAGAGTACAAAGTCTAAACTGTGAAAGCTCTTAATAAATATTTTTTTTAAATTTTCAGTGGATGAAAGAATGAGTGAGTGAATAGGAGCTGCTGTGAGTAGCCAAGAGTTCCTATCCAATTACTATAGTTTGTATATTTGAGTGTATGAGTGAGGGCATGTGTGAGCGTATATGCATTTATATATTTGTGTGTCTGTGTGGTTATACATAGCCACATACACATTCATATAAAGATTAACAATACAAACAATATATTAGTACTGTACATCTGCATTAGTCTGCTAGGGCCGCCGTAACAAATACCACAGGCTGGGTGGCTTAAACACAGAAATTATTTTGTCACAGTTTTGGAGGCTAAAAATCCAAGATCAAAGTACCCTCAGAGTTAATTTCTGGTGAGGCCTCTCTTCCTGGCTTGTAGACTGAGGCTTCTCACTGGGTGTCACAAGGCTTTTCCTCTGTGCCAAAGCAGACAGATCTGTGGCATCTCTTCCTCAAAGACACCAGTCCTAGATTAGGGCACCATCTTTATGACCTCATTTAACCTTAATTACCTTCTGATAGGTTTTGTCTCCCTATACAGTCTCAATGGGGGTTTGGCTTCAACACGTGAATTTTAGGGGGAACGCAAGCCTGTCCACTAACAACATCAGAACGTTTAACATCTAGATTAACTTCTCCTCAAAGGATAGTCTCTGTGAAAACAAAAGAGATTGTTCTGTGTCATATATAGGGAGAGGAAGACACTTGGTCAGAGAGTTTGCTTATTTATAAAATAAGTATAAATCTTTTCTGCTTTACCTCATTATATTGAAATACAATTATATTCCTAGGAACGAACTTTTCATTTCCGAGAGGATTGTAAACCACGTGCAAATAAACCTTTAAATAATAGCTGGATGGGTTTAATCGACTGTCACTGTCTGTTGCTCTATGGAAACCGGGCTGAAAAAGCCAGAAGAGGTTGACGTCCCGCAAGGGTGTCATACCATGAAGGTGTTAACTTAAAGCGGAGATTGCTGACGGAAAACCGCGTCGCATTCTTGGCACGTGCGCGCTTGCAATGAAGTTAACTTTCACTTACGGTTATATTAAATGTAGGAACCAATTCCAGCTCATTTTGCGCCTGCTCTGTTTTACCTCCTAGTGCACTTGGCCTTCCTGTAGCCTTGGCCTCTAGTTTGGTGTTCCTTGTAAAAGCTCCTTGGGGCTGGGAAGCCCTCGCCCCAGCGCCCAGGTGACAGGAGATGGGGTGGGAACCCGCGGAGTTTTCAGGGCGTGGAACCTCTCGCATACCATTCCTTCCCTCCCACCACCACCCCACTGCCGGGAGGCGGAGAGAGCTTGCAACTTCTCTCCAATCCGCGGCCGGCCCTCCCCGGGGTCCCCCTGCTGGGCGACCGGCCCGCCACCGACCGAGTTGGAGGAACTTCGCGGAGCTCCGCGTCAGAGCCGGGAGAGGCGAGATGCTCCCCCTCCTCCCCTGCCGGCCCCCTCACTCTGCCCCCGCCTCCCGGTCCTCGCCCAGCCGGGAGCGCCGGTGATAGGACGAGCCCCGGGCGTGCATTGTGTATATGCAAACCAGAGCCCGGTTCCCCAGGTCTGTCCGACCCCGGCCGGGGCTGCGGCTGCGGCTGGCGCTGCCGTGGGCGCCGCTGTCCTCGCCCTCGCGCCGCACTGCCATGCTCCCGCCGCGCGGCGGGCCAATGCGTCCCCGAGTCGCTATATAAGCGCAGGCCAGGGGACACCCGGAGGGGCTGAAGATGAGGGTGCCCGCGCATGGGCCACCGCCGATTGCCAACCCCTCCCGAGCCCGCGCCCCGCGCGGAGCCCACGGCCGCCGAGGACCCGCCTTCGCCACAGTAGCAGCTGGGGCTGCGACAGAGGCGGCAGCTGCGGCGGCGCCTGTCGCACGAGCGCGTAGAGCAGCGGCCGCAGCTCCGGGGCCGCCGCTGCCCCGGCTGCCATGAGTTGTGCGGAGGTGATGTATCACCCCCAGCCGTATGGAGCGCCCCAGTATCTGCCCAACCCCGTGGCAGCTGCAACCTGCCCCACAGCCTATTACCACCCGGCGCCCCAACCTGGCCAGCAGGTGAGTCACCGACCGGGCAGCCTGCCGGGGGCGGGGGCGAGGGGCAGCGAGAGTATCGGTCTGGGGCTCCCAAGACGTCCCTCTGGGACGGGTGGCGCGGAGGATGCTCTGAGACTTGCGGGAGCGCCCTTGAACAGAAAGCCATCAGAAGAGAAGAGACGAGGCTTCGGGAAGGACGAGCTGCCAGGTGGACGGGTGGGGATTCCAAGCGAGGCATTACCTGGCTGGGGGCTTCAGTGAGCTCTTGTCACCGGCTCAGAAGCTATTCCTCATAGCCACCCTAGCTCTTAGGGCTCAGTTCTCTGAAGCTCACCAAGGGCATCTGTCTTAGGAGTATGTGAGTAAACTTCCTTTAAACCAAATATTTTGTTTCCTTTGAAACGGTGGAGTGTTTCAGGGTTTTCTTGATTAGGAGGATGAAATGTGTCACTGACATAGGGGAGGCTACCTGGACAGTGAGCCCATGGAATGACTTTTCTGGAACTTTTATGGTGGAACATGGGTCTCGTGTAATATCTGTCCAATGTTACTAGAAGTTCTCTGCAAAGTCTGTCATCTTCCATACTTAGGTGACAGGGATTATTCCCCAAATTCCTCATTCATTTTTAATTCCATCAAAGCACAGAGATGTTATGGTTCAGTCTGTTGGACAGAAGAACCCTTTCCTTTCCCAGTTAAGAGGTAACCTTGGGTCACTGGATGCTGGGTCTCCACCATGCCAAGAGTGACTGAATGCTGTTGGATAAAAAGGATTCAGGAACTAGGGAGATGATAAAGTTCCTTTAGAAGGGAGAGTGGGGTTCTGGGGAATTAAGCACTAGGTACCACTGGGCGTTCCTCCCTGTTCGCCCGCAGTGTGTCAAGGCTTAGTTAGCGCTACATAAAACACATATGTGAGCATGTGGCCAGGGGCTGTACTAAAATAGGGTCCTGAGACTCTGGGAATTAGGGTGGGTTGATTTAGTGAGACTTAAAAAAATATACATACTCTGAGGTAGAGACACCTATCAGGGATCTAGATATGGTTCCGAAACTAACATCCACAGAATTTATTGATTGACATTTTTTTTTTTTAGTTTCTTAAAAAACATATATTTTATTGTGGTCTTCAGGGTTTGGCTCTTTAATTAATCTGGCCATTTAATTTATTTCCTCTACCCCTGTCTCTTTACTAGATTTATTGTGCTACTCTTTGGAAAGAAATTATAACTTCTGTTTAGAATTTAGGGACTGAAATTCAGCTGATTCTGAAAGAGTACCTACTCTAGATTTATCTGCTGAACAGTATGAGCTTAACCAGGACAACTAGGGCAAAAGAGGAAGGAGTCCCACTTTCTAGCTATCTTTTTTTTTTTTTTTCTTCATCATCTTCAGCATTTCAAAGCAAGATTACTTTTAGGGAGGGGGATGGGAAAACATTTTGTAATTTGTGAACAAGGGTGACAGGTTAAAACATTTTATTTTGGTTATGCTCTTTTTCTTTGGTCTTAATATAAAAGATATAAGTAATGGAGGAAACCATTTAAGTCCAAGTCAGGCAAGTGATGCAAAGAGACGCTGGATATCAATTTTCTGTGTTTTATGAACACTGTGTCCCAGATGAACCACCCTTTTCTTCTTTACTTTCTTCCATCTCAGAGACTGTAGAGGCCTTAACTTATCAATTGGAATGTGGACGAGCAACAGCCTCAAACTTTACTAAACATTCAGAAAGGTATTTTTCCCCTTCAAAAATAACTTTAGCAGAATAGTTGTGAATAAGGTTTTATTTTCCAGAGTTGTGAAAATAGTTCCATTCAAATACGAATCGCTAGTGGGGGTTAGAATTGGAATACTTTTTTGAGCTAGAAAATAAAATTCGGTATCAGAAAAATTATAAATAACTAGTCATGAGATTTAGCTTTCAATAAAAAATAACTCCAATACCTTACCTAACTTTTGCAGTTGCCCCGAAACTCAGTTGCCAAATCGCATTCTTTTGCTAAGACCGTCAGCAAACCAAAAAATGAGCTTTCTTTTTCACCTGAATTGTCCACCTCGATGAGTGGTACCTATTTGTAAATAGTGATCAATTTCTGCTATCCTTTGAGCTTCTGTAGATATTGTTTAAGTAGGTGTTAGGCTGAGTTGAACTGAAGAACTTAGTTGAGAAGTGTGCTTGAAAATGTCATGTTGCTTTTACTACACTGGCTTGTTGGAGATTGCTTTTTTGTCAGGTAAGGCAACTATTTGACTATATAACTGGCTATAGCAAAATAAAAAGACAGGAGTGTAACTACTGTACTTTTACTGTCAGGGGTTTATTTTGATGCCCTATATTTTCTGTTGGAAAACAGAGTAAATCAGGAAATTCTTATCAGGCTGACAGCATTTTTAGACTATGTGGTGCGTGGGTGAAGTGGGACTAATATTGACTTGGCCCCAACGTAGTCATCTGAGAATACATATTTTGGTTGTTTTTGCATTCCATAAGGTTTTATCATTATTATCCATGAAGATTGTTTTCTCCGTACGTGGGAAGTGACCCCTAATAGCATCTTGCCTGGGAGACAAAAACAAGGGCTACGAGTCCTACTGTATTTGAAAAATTGACTTGTTGAGGACAGGAAGCAGAAAAAGTGATAGAGTTACAAAGTTTAATGGTCATTTAGAAAATGTTAGAAAAGAGAGCATTAAAGTTTTGTATCACTTCTGTATTTTCAATTATTGTAGTGTATCTTTGAACTGATTTTTTCCTCAAGTCCATATAGCTCTATAGTCCTTGTAAATTATTATCTCATAGTGGTTTATTATGATAGATTTTAAACATAGGTATATTTTCCTCTTAATGCATGATTATATAGCAGAAGTTCTTTTTTAAATAGTAGAACTTAATGCTCCAGGCACATGTATTCGCAGCTTTCCACCTAAAAGTACGACGTGATTTTGTGTAATTACAAGTGTAAAAGGCACTTGGAATTTTGTTTCATTTTTTTAATTGAACATATTATAAATCATAGGTGGGTAATAGGTTAGTACCTTAAAAACAGTGAACTGTGTATACATCAGGCTGCATTGCAGTGTGTTACTTAAGCATGCAGTAGGCTAAGTGAATAAAAGTAAAATGTAAATATACCTAAAGAGTCAGTTTTAGAGTCCCTGATGTTAATTCCTAGAAATTGCGTGGCTGTGCATAAATCTAACAGTGTGCTTTATAGAGCCAGGATTTGCTAAGGGATCTAAGGTCTCTGGTCCCTGTGCCCACCATCTCTTCATTGCTTGAATGCATCAGTCCCTACCAACTCCTCAGGAGAACTCTTCACTTAGTCTCTCAGCACGTGCTCCAGAGGCATGATGACACTGCAGAACGTGTACAGAAAGGAATGCGTTTGTATCCCAACAGTGACAGTAGGAAAAAAGAGAAAATAAATTCAAAATAAGTGTCAGGAAAAATTGAGGGAAACAATCATAAATTCCCTTCATACCCCATAGATTCCTCATCTTAAATGCAGACAATCTGTCGTCTAAAATCTCCCTCCCCCCATATTTTCATAATGTTAACATTAGGGAGATACTTAAAGCAAAGCTTTCAGAACTGGGTGAGTTCTTAGGTGAGGTGGTGAAAGCAGAAGAGAACAATCACCCATTCTCTAATTGTGCATAGGAGTTTTTAACAATCACACTTCGGGCTTCATATAAGTTAGAGCATATTGACGCTGCTCTCTTCAACGGTGACAGCTGGGTGAATATGCATGCATGCTTTCACTTAAGAGAATTAAAAGTCTTGGGAGGCAGAACTTCAGTTCTAACTTTGTAAGGAGTTTTTCGAACTCTTTCTCTGGACTCTGCCACCTTGGTTAGGTCATAAAATCTGAGATTCTGTTTGTTAGGAAAAAACCCTGGGAAAACATACTTCAACCCCTCCTTTTACAGATGGGGAAATGCATGTTTATAGGGCTGAAATGCCTGGCTAAAGATTTCAAAGCTAATTGGCGACAAAATTAGGACCACTGGATCCCCTGCTCCCCAGCAGAGCATCTTTCCACCATACCATGCCGTCTCCCAAGATTTTTTTTTTTTTCCTATTGCACAATAGGCTTATTTCTGTCTTTAGTGCTCCAAATCAACTTTTTGATAAAGAAGATTAATATGCAGTAGATTCTTTGGCCTTGGAGCTTGAAATTCTTTCCAAGTCCTTGGTAGTGTACGTTTTTAGTTTAGGCATTCCAAAGTTGTTTTGCAAGCATTTGTATTATGCTAATAACTTTTGCTATCCGTGTTGCATCCTTTGCTGATGAAGCAGAATATCCACTTAGCAAATGAACATGTATTTATTTGAAAATAATATGCAGGAAGTGGTATTAACAGTCAGCTTTAAGTGCCTCATATATCATTGCTGTTCCAACATAAGTTTAGATTTATTAAGAGGAAAACATACAATTACATTCTAAATAGTTTCAATACACAGTCCACTTATTTAAGTTGGAGGATATAATTTTCTTGCAACTGTAAGCAAGGACTTAAGTAGATTTATAAGAATTCATACAGGACTTCTTTGAGAGAGAACAGCCCCTCTGATTCCAAACTACACAAAGTAACTTGACTGTAGAGACTTAGAAGCTTCAAGTGCCCCAGAGCTTTATGCTCCCAATAACTTTCCAGCCAGAAAATTCAAAGCTAGAAGGAAAATTAAACTTTGAAATAACTAAACTGAACTGTTGTCTCTGGCAGTCAACCAGAATGGAGATTACAATACGGATAGTAAGGGCAGGCTTGAAATCCATAAAATCATGTGCAGTGAGGCTACATTCACCAGAAAAACCAAATGCCGGGACAAGGAAGTATTCTGTGGAAATTTAAGTGAAGGATATTTTCACTCAGCGCAAGGAAGTCCTACTTCACTTAGCGCTTGGTAAAGTCTCACATCTCACAGAGTTGGAGATGATGGGGACATGACTCATAACAGTGGAAATGAGGGGGATCAGTGGGTAGAACGATCCTGCACGGTGCTTCCTTGGACA